ATTATTAGGGGGAAGAGATTACTTCAACATGTCGCCGAAGGTTGAGCTTTCTCGAGCGAAGGTGTATAGCAGGCAAGGTTTGAGGCCTTGCAGCACTGAGGCAGCACAGTGCAAAACAAAGCTGCAAGGCCACCCCTCATACCACCTTTTTCACAGCGCGGTGCTGTCCAGTAACCAAAATGGATTGGGCGCATGCATGCGGCATGCTGTCCTAGGGGATCCTCAAAGCTGTCTCAGCATCAGCACTTGTTTTGATCAACGGGAGCTCCTGCAGGTTCTCGAAGTGACAAACGAAGTCCCCGGCACTTTCGGCTTCGTCGAAGCAGTCACAGCCTTCCCCTGCAAGCAAGAGCATGCCAGCCTCAGAGATGACAGGCCTCAGGTGGAAGCCATCTTTGAACCAAGTGCTGCAGGTCTGGGCCGCAGGGTAGCTGCAACTGCATGACGTCCGGCCATCCTCGGAGAGAGCCTTACATTCCTTGGCCCCGAAAGACAAGGTCTGGCACACGTCGTCAGAAACCGTCTCAATGAGGCGGTGCTTGTTCTGAGTCACCTTCCATGCTTCTTAAGCCATGCCTTCCCTCAGGGAGGTACACAGGACAACAGAGTAAATTAAACCGTTCTAGGTTGGGTCAAGTCAAGGCACCATGAGCAATGTGTCGGCTGCGGCTTCGTCCGTTGTGGAGATGTAGTAGCTGGAGGAGCTGTCGTCGCTGGTGGCCACCACAGGTATGGCCTCCTTCTCGTCTGAAGGTGCTGAAGCAACACAAGCATTGCTGTCGGCGTCAAACGCCTCGGCCCCCGGGCACTGCGAAGCGCAGCTCTGGACGCACTCCCCGGTCATCAGGCAAGCGGCGCCAGCACTGGATGGGCAGCCACGAGAGGAAAGGAAGCCACCCTCCCAGGACCTGCGATCACCAACCCAGCCTCCACCTCCGCACTTGAAAAGATGATTCAGCGAAGAATCCACAAGTCCCAGCCAGCAATGGACTGTGTCGCCAGCCTTCCGTTTCACCTCTTGCGCAGCCTTGCTGCGGACCTGGTACATCACACAGGCTGGGTCTGAGCAACAGGCCTCTTGACAAATGGCATGGCCATTAAAGCCGGTCTCTTCTGACATCTTTACCACCACGCGCTCAAGACCTTTACACTGTGTACTGTTCAGGGCAGTGCCACCAAGCTTGTCTTGCCAGCTGTTTGGGTCGCAAATGCCCTCCTCTGAGGTCCGTCGGCAACGTCCCTCTGCGCTGGATGTGAAGCCACTGCAGGCCTTGCAATCCTCGACACAAGCCTGTGTGGCTGGGCAGAAGAAACCATCCTCGCATCCCTTTTCTTTCGGGGAGCTCTGCGCATCCAAGAGCCCTCCATGCCAAGTCACCTTGGATGGTGAACCTGTGGGAAGTTCGGAAGTTCCGAGCCAGCACTCCTGATGCCCGGCACGAAGTTGATAGAACTGGCAAGCCGCCTTCTCGCGGCAAAGATCCTCGCAAATCAAGGCAGCGCAGGCCTCATCACTCACTTGGCGCCTGCCACAACTCTTTAGCTTTGCCTCCTCCAAGGCATCCGCCGGCTGCTTCTTCAAGCCCATCACTTGCTGATAAAGCCTCGGGTCCTCCTGAAAGTTTTCATCAACCTTAAGCTTGCCCACCCACTGCTCGCACTTCTGCGATGTGAACAAGGAGGCTTGCCCAAGCCAGCACTTGCCCAGCGAAGACTCATCAAACTGGTAAAGGGAGCAGTTCTTGTCGTCACAGCAGGCTTGCTGGCAGCTCCTATGCTGACAGGAAAGGTCTGATGCCTGACACGACGTTGGCACAGAGACCCACCTGCGGCATCAAAACAAGCAACACACACAAGCATATCCTGCCTGCCTGCTATCCTTGCGCATGATGCAAGCACACCATGGCACTCATGGCACACTACTTTGGCTCTTGAATGACTGTGCGCGTGCTGATGGGGCCTCAAGCCGTTGCACCTTGGCATTGGCGCGCTTGGAAAGCCCAGCTGATCCTCCTCCTGTCAAGAAGGAGGTTTGTGAATCTGAGAGAGCTTAAAGCAAGCAAAACAAGAGGACTGAGTGAACCTCGTCTGCGAGGGATCCGCTGGAAGATTCGCTGTCTGAGCTGTCTGAGCTGTCGGTGTCGGAGTACCAATCCACGAGAGTGGGATCTTCCAGCCACATGTCCCTGGGGCAGATTGTCTGGTCGTAGGCCACCGAGTGGAGCGACCGGTGCCAAAGAGCCAAACCGCCTGAAGCAATCAAAAACAAGGGGACCTGCCATGGGCTGGCAAATAGTTTGGGAGACAACCTGCCTGAAGATGCCATCAAGACAGCTGCTGCCGCCAAGACAACCCTCTTGTCAATCTTAGCTGCCGCAAGTTGGGCTGGCGGGCTTGGGAGCTCCGGCAGCGGGATGTGAGGCTTCGAAATCCCCTGGTTCTTGAGGCAGAGCGCGTGGTCATATGGAGGGACCCAATCAGACAGGATCGCGCAAAGCTGGCTAGGATCTTTTAATACCTTCTGCAGTTCATAGAGTTGGTACGCAGTCGTGCCAACTTGGAAGGCTGTCCAAGCTATCCCGATGGGATTGCTGAGTGATAGTGCACCGCCGACCACTTTGCCAAGCAAGCCAGCCTTGGACGCCAGTGTCAACGTCTTGGTGCCCTTGGCAACAACATTTGCTGCACCAGCACCCTTCGCCACAGCACCGGCCACGCCAGCAGCCTTTGCGCCCCTGTTCACGACGTCGGCAACGGCGGCCGCTCCCGGCACCATCTTGGTGGCTGCTACGGCCTTTGTGGCCACTTGCACCGCAGTCACTGCAGGCTTGGCGAGCATCCCCACACCCTTTGCTGCGGCCGGGGCCTCTTCAACCAAGAAGGCTGCCACATCAAAGGCTGGCATGAACTGGCAGTTTCCCCCGGCGTACTTTGATACTGCTTGAATGCCAAGACCCAAATTTGGAGTACTCTGGTTCATAGCCAGCTCTGTCTGCAAATGGCCCTGCCCGCGAAAGGCAGCTGCCATGGGCAGGTAGGACAGCATCATGAAAGCCATAGCTGCACGCGCTCCAACCATGGCGAAGGTTCTCAAACTTCTAAATCTTTTTTCAAACTACTCACAGCTCTATAGGTCTGTAAGGCTCTTGAGCTCACGCACACAAGCCAAAAACATCAAAGAAGCAGGAGCCCTCGTCAGCCTGGCATGCTTGCCAGCGAAGGTGATCCTTGACAACGCAACTCAGGCACGCTCTGTATAATGCTGTGGTTGCGCTTGCATCAGCCCTAAGTGCTTCCCTTCAGACTGTTCCAGAGATTTGGCGGTGCACATTTTTCAATCAATTGTAGCAAGCTGCGTGCATAGAACCTGAGCAGACAGTGCAGTTTAAGCCGCTCTTGGTGGCTGCATGCCTAACAGCAAACTTGAACATGAGCAAGCCAGCCTGTTTTGCAAGCAGAATCAGGTAAAGATGGCTGGAGAAGACCATAGCGGCAGTTGCATCTGACCGTGTTTGCTAGGGGCCCTTGGACCGCCGTCTCCTCTTTGGCTGTCTCGTTTCAACAGCTCCAGCATCTGTAAGCAAGCGAACGACACTCCAGTGGCCAAGGCCACGTGCAAAGCCCAGGGCTGTCTTACCGTCGGCTGAAGGCATCTCCAAGTCTGAGCCTGCGTGTATGAGGAGGCGCGTTATCTCTCCATGGCCATGGGCACAAGCCACATGCAAAGGCATTACGCCGCCTGACGCAGGTGTGTTGACTGTTGCACGGCTCTCTATGAGCATATGCACAAGATTCACATGCTGGAGGTGGCAAGCAGCCAACAACGGTGTGACGCCCTGCGAGTCAGCCATGTCTACGTTTGCCGCGTTACGAAGCAAAGCCTGCACGGTAGTCACGTTGCCTGCCAAGCACGCTAACTGCAATGGCGTTGTTCCACCAAATGCTTTTACATCAACCGTAGCACTGGCCTGAAGAAAGCAGCTTGCAATTTCTACATGTCCAAGCGCACAGGCGTGATGCAGCAGTGTAAGGCCGTGCTGATCAAAGGCGTCAATGTCAACACCAGTTGCAACCAAAAGCTGGACAACCTCCACGTGACTGCAAGCACATGCTAGGTGCAAAGCTCTGAGTATGATAGCATCAGATTGGGGGCGGGCTTGGTGACCCCTTCTTCCTCCACGAAGCAGCACACGAACTGTGTCTGTGTAACCATTTATGCATGCAATATGCAACGGTGACTGGTCACCAGTGGTTTTCTCAATGTCAGCACTTGCCTCCACAAGCACTTGTGCGATATCCGCATGTCCCAGAAAGCTGGACACAAACAAGGGTGTCATGCCGTTTGTGGTCTCCTGGTGGATATTTGCTCGAGCAGTGATTAGAAAGACCACCATTTCCAAATGACCCACATCACAGGCACAATAGAGAGGCGTCGCTCCGGTGTCGCTGACCTGGTTGATGTCAGCACCTGCTGTGAACAAAACGCGCGCGATTTCCACGTGACCCCGATGGCAAGCCCAGTGCACCGCTGTTGCTCCACTTATCGACTTCGCGTTAACATCAGCTCCCGCCTCGAGCAATAATTGCACAATTTTGGCATGGCCCGGTACACATGCGCAGTGCAGAGGCGTGGCACCGTCGCGAGAGTCTTGCTTCATGGTGTCTGCGGCAGCCTTGAGCAAAAGACGCACAACCTTGCGCTGCCCCATGTCACAAGCAAAGTGCAAGGCAGTATCGCCATGTGCTGTCGTAATCTCGGTGCTGGCACCATGCTTGATAAGCCAGCGCACGAACCGCTTCTGGCCCTCGGCAGCGGCGAAATGCAACGGTGTGACTCCATGTTCATCACCCTTGTTGACATCAGCGGTTGCTTCCAAAAGCAGCTTTGCAGATCTCAGTTGACCATGTTGCGCCGCAAAGCATAGGCAAGTCATGCCACGGTCGTTTGCAAGATTGGGATCCTGAGGCTCTTGCAGGAAGGCTTCCACTGTGGTCACATCGTCCATGGACGCTGCCGCTCCGACTTCCGCAAGGTGAGCATGATCTGGAAGCTGAAATGTCAGCCTAACCAAATCCAGGGCAATTGGGAGGCCCAACCAGGTATCATCTGAAACAGTGCAGCCTCTATGTAGCAGCCGCAGCCGAAAGCGGGGGCATCCAGTCAAGCGCGACAAATGTTCCTTCAAACTGCGTGTACACCTTCCCAGCGGGACAATCGCAGACTCAAATTCTGGAGCCGAAAGGGCAAGGACCTCTTCTCCTGATGCCATCATCCGGACCCGCAGAATTTCTGGCACTTTGCCAGTTGTCCGAGCTCGCAGCATGGTTTACGACGGCTTGCGTGCAATGAGCAAGGAACAGAACCCTCAAAGAGGATATCAATTCGCGCTTTGTTTAAACAAGTTTAAACGGTAAGTGCAGCAAGGCTGTTCCTAATCAACTAGCACTTGAGCCTGGAGCAAGCCCAGTGGTTGGATGACGCCACTAGCGAAGCAGCACCAGGGTGTTTCATGGCAGCATTGTCCAGTTTTCAGCAAGGCGCCTAACCCTTTCGTCTACACCCACCTGCGAACAAGTTGCGACTCGCTTTGGGACATCACTCTTCGATGCTGCGCCCGCCTCAACTGCAGCTGGAAAGATTGCTTTGACGCTTAGGGACCAGCGGCTTCAAGCCGCACCAGCTCATCAGTTGTCTCAACATAAGTGCACAACACATTCCCTCAGCTTCCTTTCCACTAACAACATGTGCTTGAGTATTATGACAGTAGCATGCGGTTGTGCCAGAGGCTGAGGCAAGCTGGATTGCTACTCAAGCTTTCAAGCTGTGGTCCAAACGTTTGAACACTGATCTGAGACCAGTCCAGCGAAACAGCCTGAAGTCCCAAGCATGCAGACATCCACGGCACTCTTTGTAAGCATTGTAGTACCAGACGCCCTCAACACGCACATTGCACAGCAGGCATGGTAAGATTGCAAACATTCTGGAGAATGAATGCTACCATCACAGACTTCCCGTTCGAGTCCCTGGCAACAGCAAGACTAAATTGCGTCGCTCGCCATCTACACTGTGTCTCGTTCCTGGCTTAGGGTCTGGCAGATTGGCATCTTCTGCCCCCAAATGTCAAATGTCTCGGCTTAGGCCGCAACCTTCTCTAGCATCTCCGGAAGGGAGGCGAAATGGACAACTGTTGGGTATCGAAAATGGTCTGCCAGCTGAAGCCAGTATGACAGCCTTGCAGCGCGCAGGGATAAACAGCTCCAGCTGCAGCTTGCGCTACTTCAAACGTGAGAAACGGGTTTGGAACCCCGAAGCCGACAACAGCAATGAAAATAATTCTCGTGAGCGGGTGTCATCAGGAAGAGAGCTGTCACTGTTTATACATTTGTTCATGCATGTGGCCACTTAAAGCTGCCATCCGTGGACTGCCACGGTACCGCAGGAAATCTTGTAGGGGAGAGGTACACGTAAGCCTTATGAAGAACATGCAGGGATGCAATGTTGGAAGGAGGAAAAAGCTTTGGCTAGTTCTTCTGAGCATGTCGTCGTAGATGCTGAGATCACTCAAGGATTAAGTCCCAATTGAGATTAACGGTTGTGGCTCCAATGTCCTGAGTCACCAGAGAGCTTTTCAAAGGCTCGAAGTTAGCAGTGTGCTTTCTGAGCTGTGTGCGATTCCAACCCTGAACCAGAGAACCCAAGAGAGACTGCTGGAGCTACACTTTGACACGGGGTGATCGTGAGGTGAGGCATTCCCAAAGGAGCTCTCTTCAAGTCTTCAAGTAAGGCCCGCTCCGGCTGATGGGATCTGCTTTGGGATCGTAGAACGGCGCATGGGGCCACATCCCCTGGAGTTCGACACAAATTTTGGATCCGTGCGCAAGCTGACCTAGGTTGTGATCAAGGTCTGCTGTGCCCTGGCCAAGCGTTGTAAACAGCGGCGAATGCAAAATTCTGAAGCTTTACTGACAGGACTTGAGTTAGCCAACGCATTGGAGGACGGCTCTGTTACAGCCATCTGCTGCCACATTTTCAACCATGGTCAAAGCCAAGCGGATGCAACGCTCGCAAGGTACGACATGCAAGCTACGAAGAAGACAGCAACACGCCGGAATGACAAACGCAAGTCAAAAGGCCATGGAGCAACGAAAAGTACAAAACAGCTAAGGATAAAACATCACCTGCCAGCTTCACATACCACAAGAATCCCAGCCAAGTCTGTAAGCCAAATCTTGAAAGAGCGTAGGCCATAGACATGTCTCTTTTTGGACTCTTTCTGTGATCTGAGAAGGTCTGGGCTTGTTGATCTTATCCTCTTGGCTCGTGGCCGTCAACATCCAGACATTCCAGCAATATATGTGGGAGCATGTCAAAAGAGCAGCCGCGCTGGCATCAATATGAACCACCAGAATTTGACAGGGGCTGCCCCAAACCCAATTTATGCATCTGGAGACAACTTCGCCAATAAGTTTCCATGGAGTCTCGGAAGATCACTTCCCTCTAGCTGACCGCAGCTTCTGAGATAAGAGCATGATCATCTGTGCGCGGTGACCGCTTGCTGCTGTACCTGCAAAACATGCTGCATGCTTGATTGCAGCAGGGTTGTAGCCTTTATATTCCAACAGACTTTCGGGCATCAAAACACAAGACTTGCCCTGGAGAAGTCCACGCAAGTGGCTTGAAGAGCGCTTGATTTGGCTTTGTCAGCCACCTCCAACGCTTCTTGATCCGAATAAGACTGGAAGGATTATCATGCATTCGAGTGCAAGCCGCAAGCCCTGCTCACATTTTGCCACAGTATGTATCCTGGCAAAAGCATCCGATAAATCTACACTTGCTGGGGTTAACATAAGGACTATTTTCCCTTACTCACTATTAACCACCTTACCTTCTGGGGGCTAGTAGGAATAAGGGAATATAATCCATATATCCGCCGAGGCAGAAGGCCCCCTCCACCCTTGCCGAGGCGGTCTCGTGCTAGTGATCAAATTATCCTTTTTCCCAAAAATCCAGTCCCGCGGAACATCGGGAATACATAGGGAATATATTCCCTTGTTCCATAAATCTACATGGTGCTCATACATCCGCTGCACTCTTGCGCACTCCACGTGAAGCTGGCCCCAGCCTCGATACATATCGTGCAGCCTGGGAGAGTTGAGGGATCAAGTTGGGAATATTGGAATATATTTATATGTTAAAATATACATAGCTACATATATCATATAGGGATTGTAGTCGGGATTATATTCCCCTGTTTCCAGTTCTGCCCGGAAGTGTTGACTGGGTCGCTGTTAAGCCTGACGTCATAGGCTTGCTCATACCAGGACCCTCCTTGTACCCTCAAGTAGGGGATAGTAGGGGTATACGGTTCCCTACAGTGAGTTAGCGTGTATTTACTGGGGTGCTGTTAAGGAACTTAATTATTTCTGAATTGCTATGAGAGGGGAACCCTGTTTTTTAACATATACGCATAATATGGTAACTTGAATTAAGTTCTTTAACAACCATCTAGTTGAGGAATGTGCTTACCCAAGACCACGACAATAAGACAGGCACATCATACAAAGCGCCTTGGGATTCCCGTTTCCCGTTGCAACTGGATAGAATCGACTGAGCTTCTGAAGGGAGCAAAGTTTACTCGGATTGGGAAGGGCTTGAGCTGAAGAGTCAAAGGGGGGGCCTGCCTGTGTGCCTGAGAAAACTCCAACTTGGTCGAACACAGCTTGGGCAAACTTTTTTTTGCTCTCAGTGCCTGTTCACCTGCTTTGAGGCCATGTCGCAGGAGCCGTGCGACCTGACAAGCACGAATGACGCTTCTCTGGTTTCCTCCGCTTTTTTTGGAGGTGAGAAAGAGCTTCAGGTCTGCATGGGCTTGCAGTCTATGTGTGTAGCATCCCTCCGGTTTGGGGACTCCCTGCAAACAAGGCGCGTCGGGATCTTGTAAGAAGCTTTGTCCTTCCAAGTTCAACATTGAGTAGGCGTCACCAGCAAATCAACAACATCTGGGAGGAGAGCTCACAAGCACGTGTGCGGACAAAGCAAAAACCGTGCCAAGCTGACTGAACCTGCCGTCTTAGTGTAGCCCCATAGCCCTTGTTTGCAGTACGGCCTCGAGTAGCATCAAAAGGGGGTCCCCAGTCTCCTTGTTCAGCTGCTCTTGGTGTCTGCCAGGGTGGTTCGTCTTCCTGCGAAAGCAAAAGCAACCAGAAAGCTGCAAGCACTTCCCCTGAAAACCAAGCAGTTTGCCCAGAAACGGCAAAAAAGAAAGTAGAAAAGACATCTGATGATGCGTGCTGCTGGGCTCCTACCTGGACCCCAGGAGTAAGTATATCGTGTGTGTAGATATGTACACGTCTATGAGTACATATATATACAAGGGCAATAACAGAAACCCTTTCCAGGCCTGCGTGAGTAAGAGTGACTGTAGAATCAAGGTCGCCCTTCCCTACAACATCCATCTTTCGATCTAAGGCCTCCTTCCACTGCCGGTCGGAGTAACGCCGGGAGATGCCATCCATGTGAGCCATACCCACCACGCACACCTCATGTCACAGACAAATCCAACGTGCACCCGAACTGTGACGGGACTTGCGGCTTCCTGCTTCTGGTTGGCATGTGCATTTGTCTGATCCAACATTGAGCAGTATATGGTAGAAGCAACAAACTCCTCTAGTCTTATTTGAGGAGCTTGTCGCCAGCTATTTCATATGGCAGGCTTCAGAAAAAAACTTCCACAAATTGGTGCTAGCTGAAACCTGGTAGCTGTTGTGGCTTGGCCGAGTTCAGCAGATCGCAGAAGCTTTGCCAAGTGCGCATCTCGGACATGGAGCAGGGCGTGCATCACGCCAGGTGCTACATCCATCATCACGCGCCCAAGCTTCCTCACCTGGGTTTCCACTTGAAACTGCCACGCCGCAACAGCAGCCAAGCAAAGCTGCATCCAGTAGGTCTAAGTCTGCTCACTTGCCACTTTAGGACTTCATGAGGGGAGTTGCAAATGGGGCGCTCTTTCACGATCCTTCATCTCCTCCACAGACTTGGTAAGGGCCTCGATAAACCTGGAACTCAGCTGATCTAGAATGCATCTATCCCAGCAGCACGGCCAGGAAAAACATAATCCTGCTGTGAAACCCTGTCCACCTGCCCGGGTTCAGGCCGTGCACCACTTCACCATGCTTTCTCAAGAAGCACCATAAGCCTACCCAAGCGCAAGGCAGCGAGCCTTTCATGCAGTCGTGTCCATCTCACTCTAAAGACAACCTGAAATGCTTGCCCTCAGCGAGGGTTTATCCCTTATTCTTGTCTGCCAGGATTCTGCTTGTCACC